AAGGCTGTATTTACCTACTTTTGAGACCTGCTAAGGACCAGATGATTTTTATTATGTCCTGATACGTAAAACCATAGCATTCAAAGAGGGTGTACTTTCTTTTTCCCACAACTGTATAACTGTATAACTGCAGGTATAACTGAAACCTGATTCCTGAGACCAGATTATAGCAGCTGAAGAATACAACCCAGTTCAAAGTAACAGAAACAATAGGAATGGAGACAAGTTGCAATATATAACAAAACTACCCTTACCTGCTTCAAAAGCCAACTTAATGAACTTGGTGATACTGTAGAGATTATTTGGGTTAAAATAAGGGAAGGACTGACCAAAAGGATTGTTCTTGTTATCTACTATCGCTGGCCCAACCAAGGAGAAAATGTGCAGAATGCTTGCCAAATGAGGAACAAGTAGTAATAATGGAGGACTTTTATTATCCTCACATCTGTGGGGGGAAAAGTGCCAAGAATGGCCTTTCCAGGAAATTCCTGAACTATCTTGCTGACAGCCATTTTCTTCAGATATTACAATAAGTTAAAGGGGGAACATCTGGACTACATCTGTGAGTTTTCCCACTTTCCCTACTTTTTTTAATGAATGTTTGTACAATTTGATTGATTACACTTTGTTTTTGTGCTTTAATATTATTTTTTATTGTACACTGAAATGCGTGGAAAGTATATAGGAATATATTTAATGAAAAAGTAAATACATAAATAAGAGGCCAATATATTTTATATTGATGAAAGCCAGTTGGTGTAATGGTTAAGGCACCAGGCTAGAAGCCAGAAGACCATGAGCTCTAGTCCTGCCTAAGGCACAAAGCCAGCTGGGTGACTTTGGGCCAGTCCCTCTCTCTCAGCCCTAGGAAGGAGGCAAGGGCAAACAAACCACTTCTGAAAAATCTTGCCAAGAAAACTGCAGGGACTAGTCCAGGCAGTCACCAGAAGTCAACACTGACTCAAAGGCACACAAAAAAGTATTTTACATAAAAAGCTTAGGGACAATATGTAAATCGAAAGGGACACATATAGGAAGTGGAAAGAGGGATACACCAATAAGGAAAAGAAGGCACAGTTAGCCTGGATTTGTATAGAAATAGGATAACTGAAGCTTAGAATGAACTAAGATTCAGAAAGGATGCTAAGAATAACAAGAAGGATTTCTTCAGATTCCTAGGAAAATAAGAAGTGTTCAGTGCAAGTAACAAAAAGCTGAAAGATAGCAGCAAAGGTAAAATAAATAGTTTATTCCATTGTTTACAGTAAAGTCCAGGAGAGAAACTTAATAATACTTTATTAATAATACATTATATATCTGACTGTTCCTCGGTTTTTATGGAAGCTTTGTGCCTGCATACCTAAAATCTAGAAAGTTTTGCAGTCCCCATAGCCTGGTTCAGGAGCCTCTTTGAGAGGATGTCTCTGCAGGAACTCATGTTAAGTTAATCTTTCTAGAAGGGTAGAATATGATAAGGGTTTTCCTCAGGGACTAGCTTTCTAGCAGAGGCAACAGGCCATCTAACTGATAATGAGGAACAAAGTCTCCAGAATTGTGATCTGATAGAAGCCAGCTTTATGCCACTATTATAACTGAGGAAATAAATGTTAGAATTGAGGAAAAGTTACCGAGAAGGAAGGACAAATGGCCCGAGGAAGAAGTTGGAAGGAAAATTGGGGAACCTGTCCTGAAATACCTCAAGCTGTTTGCTAAAACAGAAACAATTGTTCATATTTGCTTCACCTAACTTGTTCAGTCTTGTACAGTGGTCCAGCCAAATGAAATGTCATCTCATTTGATTTCTCCAAGAACTGCTGCCAGTTTATTCAGAATTTCAAGGAAATCACTCAGCTCTAATATCTTTTCAATTTCCTCTCCAAGTCTGTCTTCCTCAAAATTTATACTTCAGAAAGCCCAACTTCCTAATTTCTGATTCCACATGGTTCCTACCATTTAGAATAAATAGTTGCAGTTCAAAAGTAGAGTAATGGGACAGACTGCCAGCAGTTCCTATTGGTACCATTAGCATTCTGTTAACCAAACCCCAATGTTGCAAACAAAATTCATCAGTTGTAAGAAGTTCCTGAAATATTGTTTAGACCAATTCCAAATTTCATAATTACCTTCTCCATGAGGAATTCCTCATAATTTTTGAAAATGAGTTAAGGCACTTGGATCACGTTTAGAAAAATGTTGATAAAAATTATATATAAATTATATAATTACATGTTTGTATGTGTGTGTATGAATATATACATATACATATATATATATTCATACACACACACAAACATATAAAGAATTAGAATATATACGTATGTATGTATATATGTATGTATGTATTCTAATTCTTGATTTTGTAATAAGCGTAGAAAGAAAAGAATTTAAGCTTCCCTCACCAACTTTTGTCCCCATCTAAATCCACATCTGGTCCAGAGTGAAAATAAAAACTAAGCAAAAATGCTTATTGCATTTTTTTTTCTACATATAAAGATTTTTATTTATTTTGTTGCCTTTATATCCACATTTCCTCCCCAGACTCAGGGTGGGATACAGAGTGGTTCTTCCAATTTAATTCACAACAGTGTAGGTGGGGCTGATAGTGAGTGGTCCACTACCATGAGAGTTTTATAGTCCCACAGCCTCACCACTATGCTGTACTGATTAAAACAATGAGTAATGAAAGAAAAAATGAGTCCTGAAGCACTTGTCTTTGAATGGAACTTTTCAGGAATTAAGCCACATTGTGATGAGCTTGGCCAGGCTGGCTAGAGATGATAAGAGTTGGGAATTCAATCCCTTTGGAGCATTGTCCCTGCAGCTTTCCAGGATAGGTGACAGAGAAGCCCCTCCAGAATCCTGGGACTTTGGTACTGACCACTTGGGGAAAGCGTTTGAAGTTCCTTGCCAGGGAGGGGGGATTTGTAGCAAGTTGTAGCCTTTGCTAAGTATTTAGCCTGTTTCAGTCAAGCAGTTCCACACCGCCTGAAGCATCATATGGGACAGCTTGAAAGACCTTTCTTGTCTCTTAATATTTCTTGCTTGACGTCTTGCTGTAGGCCATTACTGATTATGGTTACAAGAGCAACTGATTACAGAGCTCAAAAGGTTAGCAGAACAAAAGCATTTGGTCAAATTGTCCTGTGTATTTAATTCAACAGCTTCTTTTTTTAATCTGTAGGTAAAACAGGCCAATGCAGACTGGCTGCCATCAAAACAACCAATACTGAAGAGGTACGGTGTATATGTGTGTGTGTTTTGCCTTGTTAACTTTAGGAGAATTGTTGCAAAAAATTTTATGAGTGCTTATCTTATGGCAAGATATGTCTCTTTTTTATTTCTTACGCTGTAGTTCACAGAGCCTAGAGGATGTAGGAAAAGTTTGGAAAGGAGTTCAGAAAGACCATGATAGGTTGTGCACTTTGGTCACTCCAGTATCTGGTGAGTTTTGGACTACAGAACCCTAAAATTCAATGACTTGTAATTTATGAGACAATGATAAACCTCCCTCAAATGTTTACCTCCTTCCTTACTTTGGCATGTTTAAGGGTCACGTTGTTATCCTGTATGTAGAACTCAGCTATAATATGTAGATTCGTAGGGCTGGGATAGGGCTCATAATAAAAATATCAATTCTATTAGAGGGGTGCTTTGCCGTATTGGACTAGGGAGAGGAAATCCCAAGTTCAAATCTCAGTCAAACCAGGAACCTCACTAAGCCAATTGCTATTTCTCAGCCAAGCCTGCCTACCAGGGTTGTAAGAATAAGAAGAAAACCGAAGGTGAGAAGCAAGCAAGCCAAGCAAGCAAGCAAGCAAACAAACAAACGTATAGCTGATATGAAATAAAGTCTCCTTCTAGTTGAGCTCAGTTTCTGGTGACATGTCTGTGTAGTTTCCTTGACAACAATACAAAAGTGTTTGCCAAGATTTCTTTTGGGATTTTTTTTTAAAACTCAGTCTAGTTTCTAGCCCTGATGTGTTTCCTGGCAATGTCCCACCCAAATATTCAAGGTCACCTAGGGACTGCCAAATATTTCTCTATATATCCATATCCATATCCATATCCATATCCATATCCATATCCATATCCATATCCATATCCATATCCATATATATTTCATTCATTCCAGAACTGGGTTTCAACTTCAACTTTGACTCACCCCAAGCAGGGCAATTTGCTCTTACCTGCCTTTCCCAGTTTGAAACCTCTGCAAACCTCAATGCCAAATTAGTCTTTCTTAATCAGTTGTTCTGGAGATATGCTTTGTTGCAAATGATTAGCACTATGGGAGCACTATGGGACCCAAGAAAGGATTTTTTTAAGAAAGAAAGAGAGAGAGAGAGAGAGAGAGAAATCAATCAATCAATCAATCAATCAATCAATCAATCAATCTTCTGGTATTTGCTTGTGTGTTCAGTGATTGACAGGTCTGTCCTTCATTCAGAATGATCTTTGCAATCAGATCCTCATTGATCTGATCACATCTTTTGCATGAATTGCAAGATAATAGGGACAAACTCTCGCAGGTGCTGACTGGAAGGTGGAATAGGCTGTCCAGGGAGACTCAGGAGAAAAGGGCAAGAGCAGGTCTTAGTCAAACTGGGAGCACAAAGAATTATTGTGAGTTTAGACATGCCATGAAAATTATTTGAGTAAGTGGCTTTTATAGTCAAAAGACAAACAAATTACTGATTGAGATACGTATGATAGCTAAGATTTGTAGTCCAATCTTGGAGGCACTGTCCTGGCTGTGACTAAGAGACCATCAAGGTGTGTCTTTGGGTAAGGAAGGAATATTAACTTTCCCTCCTCCTGATGCAAAAAGCTACCTTGTCTTTCTAGAGACTTGGTGCAGATTCTGCAAGTGATAAAATGCAGGTGGTTTTGTAATCTCAGAATTCAGGGATCTTTTAGATATATCCTGACCTAGAATGATAGTAAAAGGGGGGTTTGCTGCATGGCAGTAGTTGAGCACCAATCTTTTCCTAAGTTAAGGTATAGAAGAAAGAAACATAAACCCATGACAGAAATCAGTAAATAAATAAACAAATGGGAATCATCCTCCAGCAAAATTGAAGGTCCCATTTTCCTGAATCACTTTCTGACATGATGGGATGAACCACCCTACCAAATTGACTTTGGGTGAGCTATTGCTGGACTATTGTATTTTGCCCTTGGAGTGGGTTGGAAGGTCTGTTCTCTATGTTTACCCATATATATATAGGGAAACATAATTTTAGGCATATACAGGTAGTTCTTGCTTAGTGACCACAGTTGTGACCGGCAACTCTGTTGCTAAGTGTGGTGGTCTCTAAGTGGAAAAATCATGTGACTGCAATGGACTTATGACCTTACTTCCCATTTGGTTGTTAAGCGAAGCACCACAGTCACTAAGTGAAACATCACATAACTGCAACTTACAATTTTACTTCCACATTCTCTATTAAGTCTGCTTGTCGCAAGCTGGTTGCGAAGCACATGAATGGTGATCAAGGGACCGTGGAATGCTGTGATGGTCATAAATGTGAGAATAGGTCACAAAGGGTTTTTTTTTACACCACTGTAAATTCAAACAGTAGTTAAATGAGGCAGTTGGTAAGTGAGGACTACCTATATTCTGCCACTTAGAGATGTGTTTTTATGTCTTATATACCTTGCATGCAAACTGAAATACAATTTAGAAAAATGAAGCATAAAAAAATGCAGGCATCCTCTGCAAAATGGGCAGTGCTCAATGTGCTGTGTTTCATCCAAGGGTTTCCCTCTGTCATTAAAAAAACATTTTGTTTTTCACAGAGCATAAGAAGGCGCCTGGGCCCCCTAACAGCATCCGGACCCCTCCATATGCACCCCTATATTTGCAACATATTTCTCCTCTGGATTATCAACACAATGTGTATATTCCAGGAACCCCAACAACGCCTGCCAATAAGGATGGCCCAGTCTTTCTGGAGCAGGAGGCTAAGAACAGCTTCTCCACATTTGGAAAGAGGAAGAAAATGACCAACTATTCTGATAAACATGACAGCATGGTTATTAACAATAACCTGAAATAAAAAAAATGTTTGTAGGCCAGCAGAGGCTGCAAACCATGCCTGAATATTTCTGTGGTGCTGGTGAAGGTAGCTTGAGATCTCTGACTTTAACTCTCTATGTGGTTGTGCATAATACAAGTGGCCAAGAGTTCTTATCTACAAGCTACTTCCCCTAAAAAGATGGCAAACAGTGAAAGACTGTAATGTCAAGACACCAGTAATTTATAATGAAGGTGTGGATATGTCTTTGTGGACACAGGCAGATGCTAGAGCTCTTGGAACTGGAGGAGGAAATCAAAAGAATGGACATAACATCCATCCCATTTCATTTCACAGATCTGGTGGCTGCTGCTTTATGTGGAAGATGCAATACAACTGGCAAGTTGAGAAAGAACATAAATGAGCCATTTGTTTTATATTATGGAATATAATAAGTGATTGGGGTGGAAGCAGGACAGTTGTCTGGAACTCAAAGAGGCCATGGTATGGACCTTTTAACTTTTAGCACCCTTCCCCCCGTTTTGTAGATGGTGTAGTTCTTTTTCTTTTTAGACTGTGTGAATGTTTCAACACTGCATCTCATCTTGTTGTCCTGTTAGCATATTTAAATGGCAGCAATATGGAAAATCACGGAAAGCTAAAACTACATTTTGCCTCTTACAGAATTTGTGAGGGTAAAGGTAATGCTTAGCAGATAATGCATTTATTTATTTCATATTATATATTTCACCCATTGATAAAAATGTTTTCTCATTATTATATACATTTGGATTTAAAACAAAGCATCATTTCAATGGATATTAACATTATGCTTAGTAATCAGCCTTTTCTGTAAAAATGGGCTTTATTAAGAATTGAACTTTTGAAGAGGTGTTGTGACGTCACACACATGTGCAACAAGGGTGGAGCTTGCAGTGTGACCCCATGGTGTTGCTTTTGTCATTCTGACAAAGCAGCAAGCTCCTGCAGAGCCCCATGGTAAATGCACACGCTTCCAAGTTGAAGTGTAGGATAAAGAATTCTGCAACTAATAATACATGTTGTGCTTTATTTTGAATCCACTATGAACTGCTAATAACAGTGTTTTCAAATGGAGTGAAGCTGGCAAGGAGCCAATACTGCAGCCCCTAAAGAGACATTGTGTAAAAAAATCCAAGGAGAATGAATGTTTTTGATATCCAACCAGAATCTGCTAAGCAACTTAGGCTATCTTCCTAATGGCAATTCTATGAAAGTGTTATGTTCTGTTGAGTGGATATTATATTTTGGACCAAACTATAGGCCAAATTGCTATTGCTTTCCATCTCCATTCAACTAATTTTAAAGACAAAAGGGTTTTGAACACAAAGCCACCATTTTTAGAAATTTCTTTGATTAAAAAGAAAGAGAGAGAGGAAAGGCTTACGCCAGGGGAAGACCGATATCAGTATCATCTTAAAGGGCTTGGACTGACTCATGAAGTCTTGCCTTCAGCTCTTTACCACAAACTCTTTATCAACTTTCTTCACTACTGCAGAAGCTGAAACAGTTACTTCTTCTCTCCCATTAGTAAGGTGCATATTGCTTCACCCTCCAACTTAGTTGTGGTTTGAGTATCTGTAGTTTGAGGCTTCAGACTCACTTTTCTACAACTGTTTAAGCTGCCTGCATGGAAGTAAGGATGGGAAGGAGATTATTGAGCACCAGGATATCGGGCTTAGCCTGTTACCATTATGGGACAGATTAAAAACAGGTTCATTTTGAACCCACTTAATCTTTTATCCAGGGCATAAATAGCTCAAACTATTGAACATCAACTAGACACAATGGAAAGCTGAAGGGAGAATAAGGTGATAAGAAATTCTAGCCTGGTGTTCTAGCGTTGGGAAAGATGAGTAGGAAAGTTTTGAGGCACATTACATGCATTCTCCATCACTATAGCTACATCACAGTCTAGCTGATGAAAGCCAAAGGGGAAATGAAATGGCTATAGAAATGGTTCTGTTGGATCACATGATCAGTATTTGCATATATGCACAATTTTGCCCTGTGGACAAAATCAAAAGAAATGCGTGAGCATCCAACATGTAAAACTTGATGTAGGGTTTAAAACGTGAGAAAGGTTGATAAATTTTGAACTCAAGACAATAACTGATCTTCATTACTCTGCATTATCAATTTGTTTTTTTCCTAGGGACCCCAGATCTAAATATTTGCAACTCTACCCTCATTTTTCATAAGATTGGCTTCAGCAACAAGTTCTTTGCAGAACAGATCCATTTGGCACATCTATTTAAAATAACGTACGTGTGTGTTTGTGTGTATGTGTGTGAATAATTTGTTTTCTTAAAAACAGTCTTTGGCCTATATGCATGGAAACACTGTTGACAAGTCTGCCAGAATCACAGAAAGAAAAATTGATTGCATTTAAATTAAAATTGACTGCTTTTTGAATAATACATGCAGTGCATGTTTGCTTTATAGAAATAAATTGTTCTTTAATAATCCAGAATGGAACATTTGTTTATTGTTGCTTTTTGGTCACATTATTAGATAACAGAGACAGCGATCAGTGAAAAATATTTATAGTGGGAATGGTGCAGGTAGGGGAATGGCTTGAAAATCTCTAAGGTGAAGTTCTAGCAAAGCTTTCTGTAGCAGTCTTTCAAAGTGTGGTTACTTGTTGCAATTACATTCTTAAATGCAAGCAATATTAAACTACTTCATCTTGCAGCTTTAGGGAGGAAGATATGTATTGTGCAAATCCTGCTGAGCAACTTTATTGGAGTATGATGGTTTGTGAATGTCTAGGTGGCTTACCTTTCACTATAGTTGAAGTTGTCTCTACATATCTGGAATGCTAAAAATTAAAAATGCATTTATGTCCGTAATTGGAGGGCTTTGTAATCAAAGGAGGAATTTTGCTTTTTTTTGCATTTTCCCCACCGATCCAATATAGCAGAAGTGTAAGAAAAATGGAGTTCTCAGTGAAGCAGACTGGGGCAAATTATACTGTGAAATAAACTGTCTACAGACTGCTTAAAAGAAGAAGTACGTGGCTGTAGTGGCTCAGCCAGTACTGGATATGGTGACACCCTCCCATCAGAGAAAAACCACTGGAGAGATAGCAGATGATGGGAAACAGGAACAGTGTTGGCATCCCAGAGGGCACCTTACCCAGAGCGTCATCAAGTCGAGTAGACCCTCTGCTCTTTTATAGAGAATTCCTTGCCTTTATATTAGTAAATATAGCTGCTTCCCCCTTATCACTGACTTGGTATGGATGCTTTATAGAAATAGTGTTGCTTCCTAATTTGACGCCCATTACACTCTTCTGGCATCCTGTGTAGGCCTTTTACAATTTGTTTGATTTTGCAGCTTATTGATTTTTTAGCTTATCCTAATACAGGAGAGCCTGATGTAATATTGACCACTTGTGGGAGAGCTTGGCTGTTGAAAAAATGTAAAATATTAGCACTTTAGCTTAATTAGCATGACCCATAGTAGAAAATATTATTTGGTGAAACAAAATACTCTTAAAAGCTTACATGGTATTTCTAGAATTGGAAGGAAGGACACTTCTAAGAATATCTCTCCAAAAAACATGATGTTGTAATGTCAGTAATCACTAATGCTGTTGCTAGGAGAGAACCACTCTCAGTTGCAAAGTTGATAATAGATGGAAGGGAAGTTATTATCTTCAAGATAAGACAGACTCAAACCAACGCCAGATTTTAATAAACAAAAAATGAAAAAATGCACACAAATTCATAAAACATGCAAATGATGCATACTACAATAGATACATAAAGTGACTCAGTTTTAAAATAACATTTAAACAGAACAATTACACAGAATTATATTAATCAGTCTTTCCATTTTATTGATAAAGAGCCAATTCAAAAGCTGAAACTGAACAGATATCTTCAATCCAGGATTTTAGGTTCAGAGTAGCAATTTCTTTTCAACAAAGCAAACTGTCTTCTGGAGTATGTTCCAAGGTCAATAAATCCAAAATATTGGATTTCATAAACAGATACATTCCAAGTTTTCAGTATATAATTCAACACCACATTAATATCTTTAAATCTTATTTGTCTTCACAAAATCATATTAACAATAGTTTGAATATCAACCTCAAGTGTAACTACTACAGAGGAAGCCCAAATCACAGATGACAGGGTCCCCTCAAATACATATAAGAGGATAAGAAGTATAAAAAGGATGATAACCAACCCTTCTTAAACAGTGGTAGAGGTGTCCCAAAAATATAAAAAATTGTCTGAAAATCATAAGAGACAACATATCTAATTTTTTTTAATGGAACCATTAAGATGTTCCAATTCTTTATTCCAAAGTGCTTGCAAACTGCCAAGATATTTCAGCTGTCTATACTTTTAAAATACAAGTTAAGAATCTTCCAAAATATTTTCCAATAAAAGAAGTAATTTGGGAGATTGCCTTTCTCCGATTGTCTCTTGTCTCTGCCCACCCCATTAGGTCTGGGAAGAGGTGCATGCTCCGGGTTCTGTTTATTAAGGATCTTAAAGATTAATATACAGTTGAAACCAGAGGCTTTTCTTTTGGGACTAATTGACAAACAGTTGGTAAAAAGCCATGAAACTTTGTTTTTGTACATGATAACTGCAGTGAGATTATTGTATGCACGAAGATGGAAAGGTCTGGCATTACCCACAATGGGGTAATTGTTGGAAAAAAGGGTGGAACTTGCTAAAGTGGCTAAATTGACTTCCTTGATCAGAGAAAAGACGGTATCTACATTTATTGCTGACTGGAAACCCCTTATAGATTTTTTGTGTGAACCAGAAAAAAATGTACTTATGATTTATGACTTTGATGATTAAACGGAATAGATTATAGAAAGAAGAGACGTATGTTATAATCATAGAATAAGAGGTAAACTTAAAATTATACTTATAATTACTGTAAAGAAATGTGTGTTGACCATGGTATCTTGATATGACATAACTTCACTAGTTGCTAATTGCCGTCTGAACCCAATTCAAGATTTTAGTGAGGGT